TTTAATGCGAAAAGTCAGAATTTATTTTTCCTTTTGTTTAAGCATTAAAATATTTAGAACCAAAAGTATATATATATATATTTTCAGGATAAATGTAACAAATACAAGAAAAATAACATGAATAAACATATACCTCTGGAGCCTTAAATATATTTTTAAATTTAAATTTAAACAGTTTAATATTTGCTTTAATCTTTATTAAGTCTATGTTATAAAATACATATTTTACCATTTTATGTGTTTGCATTCTTAGGATACTCAATCCTAACATGATTATTTATATTTGGAGCTGACATATTTGTTTTCATTTGATTCAATTTTTGAGTTTTATAGTAAATATCAACATGAATAAAAATTAAACAATAATGAAGTTTAAAAAAAAGATCTTTGTATAAATGCACGCACCTTTAAAGGAATATTAATTCTATAAAATGATGTTTTAGTTAAAAACTTTTGGATAAATCAATATGTTTTGAATAAAGACAAATAATCTTTGTGAATCTGTGCAGCCGTCCTCTGCACACATTAAATATTCATATTTCACTTCTTTCAGCCTGATCAATTATTAAATATAGAGGACGATGTCATCTGCAAAAAGATACAGTGTAAATAGACTTATCAATTTTACTCCAAGTCACCGAGGGCCTCTCGTTTAATTTCTTCTCTCAGCTTTGTGTAATTATTCCACAGCTTATATATTTCTTCTGTATTGATCAGACACACACCCACACACACACACACACACACACACACACACACAGCTTCAGCCTCTCCTCTCCTCCTGGCAGGGCACCAGTTCAAATGTTTCCCCTGGTTTCTTTTTCTCTTCCTTGCCCTCCAAGATGAAACCTGAGGAAGGAACAGGCTCCTCTGCAGCTCACATCAGCTAAATGCTGCCCGAAGCCTTCAGCTGAGCCTCTCACTGAAGCTTCTTTAGCAGCTAAACCTGCTCAGTTGCTCTGTGGATTCTAGTTTTTCACGTTTTGGGGCAGAAAGTCCTCCAAGCATCCATCAAGAGGCAACGCAGAATTAGATTTAAGATCTGGGATGATGTAGAGGCCAATAATCCGCCGGGTTCAGCTGCTACCTGCTACTCTATCTGACCGGAAGTTTAACCTCAGAGCACGCGCTTCGTATAAAATGCAGCTTAAAGTTTACACTGAAATCCTTTAATTTACTTTAGTATTATTATTTATTTTATACATTTAACTTTATCAGATCAGGACCAGATTTGACTTTTTTAGATTTTTCTACCTGGATTATTGAGCATGCATCAGGATATTTTATACATTATTTTATTTATTTTATTAAACTATTTATTATTTATTTATTATATTTAGTTTATTATATTAATTTATTTTATTATTATTATTATGCCCAAATAACATTTTCAAATACTCAAAACATACGTATTAAGTAAAAAAAAAATAAAATAAATAAAGTCAGTCGCAACAGTCATGAAAATCCAGACAATTGTTACAAAAATCAATCAAATAAATCAGATAAATGTTTAATAATAATTATAATGATGATGATGATGATGATCTGTCAGATCCACTCAGCACCAATAAAAATTATAATTACCCTCCTTCTCTCAGCTGTAAATTTCTCTTTGGTGCAAAACGCTTTCATTCTCGCGCTCGCTTGCCCCTGCGCGCGCGCGCGCCGCGACACCGAGTCCTCTCCCTTTGTCCCGCGTTGTGTAATAAATAGCAATGTATGTTCAGCTCTATTTCAATATTCCCCTTAGAATCCTTCACGGATGTATTTATTAGATTGCTGAAGGTAATATCCGCGGCGGGGAAGGGAGGCGCTGTCACAGAGAAGTGTTATGAAGTATAAGTGGTTTTATTACGGCAAACATATTCTCCAAGGTGGCCTTTATTTTATTCTTTATAATGCTTATGCTAAATTGTGTTAGAGAGGCAGCAGATTTGGTATTTTCTCCCCTTTCCTTTTTCATTCTGTGGAGGAGAATTGAAGAAAACTTTTGAGGTTGTATTTTGGGTTTTATTTTATTTATTATTGGGGCGTTTGGTTAATTCGGATTAATAATGAAGGTTGGAAAGTATAAACTGACTAAATATGGTTGAAAGCATCTTTAGTTTTAATTAATCTATAAAAAAAATCCCTATTTGATATTCAGAGACACAATAATTCAATAAATTCATTTCAAAGCTTTTTTAAAACCTCATTTTATTTTTGAATTAAATTCATTTCAATCATTTTGTCAAAAACAAACTAAATCTTTACATAAATAATTCAAGCAAGTCACAAATAATAGGAAGAAAATTAAAAATGTGAGCAAAGATTAAAGGGGCTAAAACAGTTTATTTTATATTTTTTAGTTATTTCTCTTTTTCTGCATCTGTACAAGTTTTGCCCCTTTTCACAGCAAAGTTGTTCGTTTTAAACCAACAAAATGTCCATTTTCCAACAATAAGGTTTGCTCTCACTGCTTCATTAATTCATGCAGGTTTAGCATTTGTGTTTTTGCTCTTTTATTAAAAAACAAATAAGTTAAAAAGAGTTATTTTGGGCACATTTATGTTCCCTGTTGTTGATCGTGCAGCATCAGAGCAGATGAATCTGCATTTTGTGCTCCTTGAGGCAACACCTCGCTGCAGTTGGCATCTCCAAACGAGCCTGCTGGTTCCTCTGAGCGTGCTCGTATGTGTCTGGCGCATTAGTCAGGCTGCAGATGGCCTGAAATAGCTTTCTAATGCAGCATGATTCAGTCAGGCCTGCTGCTGGACGTGGAAGCAGGCCTGCCTGCTCCCCCCGTGTGAGGCTTCATGATGATTTGACCCAAAAAAAAACACCCAAAATGACTTGTACTCTGGTCACACTAGCAAAACACTCACACACTTTTATGTGTAATAAACTAATTATAATTTTTTTTAACGAGCAACACAAAACTGCTACAATCTGTTGTGAAAAATACATTATTTTTGTAGCCTAAATGATTTAAAACCAGATGGCAGCTGATGTCCCATAAGAAAAATATTTGTGGCTTTATTACCACTTTATTATTACTGAGCATCAAAGCAAACGCAAAACATAAAGTTTTATTACGACGCTGCAGACATATTATCGTAGAAGATTAAAAATGAGGATAAGAGGAGAAAACACGAAGGCTGTGGTTAAAACGGAGCAGAAGACACTAAATCTGTGCCGCTAATTTACACAGAGGTGACGTAAACTTTACGCGACCCGCCGTAAAAGCAAAATCATCTTTTCTTTACAAGTCATTTGCTGGCGTGCGCCTCAATTTGCCAATCGCGTTCAGCGCCATCAGGGGACGCAGCAACGACCTGCCGAGCACGTAATCGCTTCCTGCTCCATTTTCCATCCAAAGTGTCGTGCGTGCAGCAGATGAAGTTTTCGGCTGCTGCAGCTCTGATGGCAGCAGCAGCAGCACGGGGCCCCGGGGGGGACACCTATACAGATGTTTTCATATTCATTTTGGCTCCTGGTGAGCTTTTCTGACAAAACAAAAACAAATAAACACCCTGTCAGACAGCAGGAGGAACAGCTGCTGGGGAGGCACGACACAAACCGAGCGTCTTTTTTTAACTGTTGATTTCATTTAGCTTCAAAATGAGAATGTGGCTGCAGAGTGGATCTATGGCCACCGATCTCATTACATTTATTGATCAGCTGTTTACCCATGGCTGACAAAATAGACAGGATTCATAGATATTTTATGATGCAGAGGATAAGTTGTTATTAATACGCATCATGTGAGAAGCACCGAGGCAGAAGAAGAAACATGCAAAACCAAAAGCTTCAAACAGACCAGGATTTAAACATCTCTTAATATTAAGGTGTAAAGTGTCAAATATGTGAATTATTGTGTCGTTATGTCATGTTGCAAAAGAATTACTGCCAGAAATTTAATGAAAAATGTAATTATGGCCAAATCAATTGTCCTGATGGATGTTTTTGCTTCAGCAGGATTTAATCCTGACATAAAAAGATAATGTTGTGACCAGTTTGTGCTTCATTTCTCGTTGCATGCCTGCAAAATGTCACCTGGTTTCTCTGAATGACGAATGTGGCATTTAGTGGTCAAATATCTCCAAAGACGGAGAAGAGTCTGAACGACGTTACGGCAGACTCTGCTCGTCGTTCAGGCCTCCTTCATGTGATTATAGCTGCTCTCCGTCGGTGCCTGACTGGCTGCTGCTGTCCTCCAGATGTGGGACCTTACTGTGTCTCCCTTTCATTTAGGGGAGGAGGCAGAGGAGAGCCGAGCTGGGGAGGCCACAGGGGGGCCGGAGGCCGCCGGGTCCCTCTGTCCTCTCCCCAAAGGAGACATCGGCAGGGTCCCTGTCTGGAGCACGGTGGAGACATTAGCCAAATGCTATTACCCAGAGCTCGCTCACCTGCGAGACAGCAGTGGGCTCCTGGCAGATTATCCTTTTCCAAAGGGGGCTTGTCCAGGTGAGTCACCTCCCTCCCACCCCCAACCCCCAAATAACCATGTTTCCTCCTCATTGTCACAAATGATTGTTCAAAAGGATTTTTCATGTCTTTAGTGCAAATACAAAAAAAAACAGCTAAAGCTAAACTTTAATTTCTTAACCAGTTCATGTGTTATGGCTTTATTTACTTTGAATATTTCATAAACTGAATTTATGTTTGACCACTGTTCAAATCAATGTGTTGCTTTTGCATGTGGCAGCTGGAGGTTCTTTATGTTAACAAGAACTAAAAATCCAAACCGTGTTTGTGAACAGAGTCCACACGAAAAGAGCTACAGAACGAGGTCACAACAGGAAACAAACCAGTTCCTGATTCATTAAAACCATCAAAGTGAAATGATTTCATTCTCCTCCTCCTTCAGCTGCCCTCTCACCCTTCTCTGTGACCCGTCGGATCGGCCACCCGTACCAGAACCGGACGCCTCCCAAACGGAAAAAGCCTCGCACCTCCTTCAGCCGGGTGCAGATCTGCGAGCTGGAGAAGCGCTTCCATCGGCAGAAGTACCTGGCGTCGGCCGAGCGAGCCACGCTGGCCAAGGCCCTGAAGATGACGGACGCACAAGTCAAGACCTGGTTTCAGAACAGGCGGACAAAATGGCGGTAAGACCGCAGCAGAGCGTGACCCCCCCCCACCACCACCACCACGCCGTACATGATCTGCTGAAGCAGGGGGTCCAAACGTTTTCATAGGCGGGCCAGAACTGTGTCGTGGGACAGAAAAATGTGAATTTAAGAAAATAATTAAATAAGAAAAAGCGTGATCCCCCCCACCCCTTTTTTAAAAACTCTCAACAACTTGAACATTATAGAGAAAGGTTGAAAGTTTAGTTTAAATTGTTGTAGCTGCAGAACATTAGGAGTCTCATAAACATTAACTTTTTTATTTTAAGAATTTAATTTATTAGATTTTTTTGTTTCTTTGTGCTCGGAAAGTTCATTTTTCTTTATTTTCAGAGTCAAAAACCTAAAATTAATAACTGTTCTTTAAAAAAAGGGGGTGGAGCTTCAATCACCCATTTGGCCCATGAACGGCCCAAAAGGGTCATGGAAGTTCTGAAAGCCCGTTCAGCTGCAGTCGCTCAAACAGATCCATAGAAGGTTTGAAGGGACGCTGATAAAGTTGATCAACTTGTATGTTGATGATACCACTTTATATTTCTTTAAAAATGTCCAGTTTCTCCCCATCGATTATTTAATCCAGGGGTTCCCAAACGTTTCCATGGCCCCTTCTGGCCGAGGCCCCCCTCACAAACACATAAATGCTACAAAATATGTAAAGAAACATCAACTTTTAGAATGTTTTAACTTTTATTCACTATATTCAATTAATTATCACAGCTGCTGAGCATAAAAATGTTATTAACTAGCATGTTTTAAACACTGTATTTTATTCCCACTGAAAAAACCCATATTTTTAACAAACTGTCGACCAGAAGAACAAAACAAAACAAATCTAACTTCTCTCTCAAACATGTTTATCTGGAAATGACAGATACAGATTACACTAGTGGGCAATTTTTATTATTATTATTACTATTTTTCATTTTTGCTTTTTTAAAATCTACTTCTCTCCAGCTTTCTGGGGCTCTCGTAGCGCACACTGGTGGCCCCCCCAGGGGGCCGCAGCCCCCTACTTTGAAAAACACAGATTTAATCAATTGAAATTATTTTCTATGAAAACACGTTATATACATTTAGCTAAGTTTTATGAATTATTATCCAAAATTCTACTTTTTGGTAGGTCAGTGAAGGTTTGTTGTAGGATAAAGGGATTTATAGCTAAATATTTGTATTGTACCTAATAGTGCTCATTTTGAGAAGATTATTTATATCTGGCTGTTAAACCTAAAAATTTTAAAAGTCTCAACATTAAATCTAAAGAAGGTAGACATGTGCATCATGCTGGTCAAAATTATACCATTCTATAATTGCAGTCGTGGGCCGCACAGGATCACTTCAAGGGCCTCAAATGGCCCTCGAGCCACACTTTGGACACCCCTGCCCTAAAGCAAACTGATCGAGCTTTGGTTGGTTTTTCTGAAGACTTCTGTTTCTCTACATTTGCTCTTGAACCGACAGCGTTGAGTGCGTCTTTGTTTTGCTCTTGGATGCAAAATGCTTACGGCTGCGTTCCTTTAAAGACGAGTAAAAGTGGCTGCAGCGTTCGAGGAGTTGTAAAACACAACACCCATTTCGCTTAGCTTAGCTGCCTGTCGAGGCCAGTTCGCTTGACCAAGCACAATTACCTGTGAGCCTCCTGAAAGGCCTTTTAGAAAGCTGCTGTCCAAAGCAATCCTGAAACACTCACAGGAGGGACTGTCTGCCCCCCCCCCCCCCCCCCCACACACACCTTCACTCCATTCTAACTGATGTTTATGGCCATTTGGAAATAAATGAGCAGGGAATCAAATTATGACGTCCTGCCCATTGTTAAAGGAGCAGCACGCATATTTCAAAAGCACAACACAAACAGCTAAATGAGCTGAAGTCATTACTTTAATGCTTTTTAAAATGATTTTTTTTTTTTACATTTACTGCACATTGGAAACAGTTACAGCAAACGGTTTGTTTTTGTTCGCATGCTTTGATTAAATTTGCTTCCGCTCTTCAGACAAAATATGCACGAACGTTAATAATTTAGGCCATTGATCAGGTTTATTAAAAAGAGAAAAAACACCGATCACACCAGACACGCTCAGCCTCCACGAGTTAGTAATAAAATGAATCTGCTCGTGATAAACCGTATCCTGACTGAACGGCATGTCACGGGGCATCCAGGGAATTGGTTTAACTCGTTTTTCTGATTTCCTACTTTTCCTAAGATTTATGCCGTTCCCCTGTCGTGTGCATCTGATAGGATGAGCGTGAGGGATGTCTTTGCGTGACGACTACGCTAGTAACAAGAGGATGATCGAATCAACAGCCGTGGAATCGGATTATGATAATGCTGTTAACAATAATGTGTGGCTAATGGATGGAGGATGGTGTGCAGGAGAGAGGGGTTTCAGAGGTGTCTTCCTGCCTCTCAGTCCCACCTGCAGCTGGGATTTGAAGGACGAATGGCCACTCGTCGTAGCTTGTTTTGATTTTAGCGCCAGCGAAACGTTAAAGAGGAAACCTGAACGACTTACTGTCTGATCCAGGCCTTTCAGAGCATTCCATAAAGAACAGAGTCCTGCTTTACTTCTCTGCCCATGCAATTGATCCCGTTCATCTCTCTAGAGATTATATTAAATAAAATCGGCCTTTTAGACGACTTTAAATAGAAATTGGGGAAACTTTCAGAAATGACCAGAGACTTAAATATTTGCTTGTCAGTATAAACTCGTCCATCGTTGGGCTGCAGGGACAGGATGTGTTACTTTCCCTGAATGGACAAGAAAACAGATGTAGTGTTTCACCTTGAGGCAGGAAGTACTTTACTTTACCCTAACCCGACAAATGAAACATTTACTTAATCTTGTTTTTTTTCTCAACTAATTAAAAATGATTAATTAAATGTAGTAAAATGCAATATTTACTTGAATTTTTTTCATGACCAATAGTTCAGAGATCATGGTGGATTTAAAAGATTTGTGATCTCTGAAGAGCAAACCAGCTCAAAGTCCGTTAAAAATAGGGCCTCCTTGCCTTTTGAAGTACGGAAAGCAGCTTGGGACAATATTTTCTCAGTTAAAGGGAAAGTACATTTTGAGCTAATTGGTTAAATTAGACTCAACTTGGAATATTTAATTGCTTTATTGTCTCTTATTGCCTTAATAAAAAAAAAAAAACTGCTCATTTTGACAGTCAAAGAGTAACTAAAAATATTAAAATGCAACAATGAACAAAAATAAATTTTATTTTTTTAGAATCTCCTCTGCTCAGATTTACATGCAGCGGTAAAGTTCATTGTGAATTTAAGACATAGATTGCTTTTTTCAAAACCTACAGAACTTGTACGGTTCGTGTTTTAATCAGAATATATTTGAAATAAGTAACTTCTATAAAAGTTAAGACTCTGTCTTCTCAGACTGTCATTTTAATGTGCAAACTTGTCGTCCATTTGTTGCCCTGCAGGCGACAGACTGCAGAGGAGCGAGAGGCTGAGAGGCAGCAGGCCAACCGGCTGATGCTGCAGCTTCAGCAGGAAGCTTTCCAGAAGACGTTGAGCCAGCCGCTGCAGCCGGACCCCCTCTGCCTGCACAACTCCTCCCTCTACGCCCTGCAGAACCTGCAGCCGTGGGCAGAAGACAATAAGGTGACCTCCGTCACCTCCGTGGCATCTGTAGTGTGACTGCATGTGCGAGAGTGTGTGTGTGTCTAGAAATTACAAAACTGGGAAAGAACTTCTTTTATCCGGGTGTGAATGGACGAGAGCGACGACTAACGTCTTCTCGTGTGTCTGACGTTTGAAAACTAAGATAGACGCAGGAGAATGGTGCTTGCTTTGGAGAAAATAAACGAATGGACATTAAGTTTCGTCAGTCATTGATTGTTACCTGCAGCAGAGACGGCTATCTGTTACTGCCGAGGTCGCCAGGAGCCGCCTCGACGCTGCTGTTTGTCAGAATGAAGCAACTGTTATGGTAGAATCTGTTGAGTCATATCCTGCCTTACACCAAGTTTTCACTTTCCCTTCAGCTGTCGGTCTAAAAGAGAAGAGGGCACTTACCCCTAAGTGGAAACAAACGGACACCTCTGTACATGCCCAACTACCAAGACTGCCCCCCACCCCATTTGCCTCTGGATCCCCCGCAAGGTGGCAGAGACTCTCTGCCCGTAAAGGAAATTAAAAGACCTCCTGTTTTTTGCTTTTGACTTTGTACAATGTAGTAAATGCATGTTTCAATCCTTTTCTGTGTGCACCTGGAGGCACCACTGCAGCCAGCTGCTGCCGAGGCGGATCCCCCCCCACCCCCCCAGCCGCAGAGCTCGGGTGGCGTTTGGATTAGTCCTGGTCATCGATGCCTCATTATGTTAAAAGCAAAAGTGTTTTATATTAAAAGATATTGTGACTTTTTGAAAAGATGACAGACTTCTCTCTTATTCTTGCCTCATTCACAGTTTTTTTGTTTTTGTTATAAAAACAATGCAATCATTTTATAGAGATTTAAACGGGACCCAACGGTAAGATAAAACAAACTAAACCAGCACAAATGAGCCGATAATGCAGTTTTTATATAGAAGCATTCTGAGGTTTACGCTCCCTCATCATGGACATGAATGTCAGATTAATTTACGGCGTTCAGTGATTCATTTGCACCGTTCTTTTCAGGGTGCACGGATGATACAAAACACAATTTCATTGGTTTAAAAAAAAATAAAAATAGAATTGGGTACATAAGTTGGATTTTATGGCAGGTTTTTTTTTTTCCTCTAATAAACACACGTTGAAAATTATCCATACACTCCTAATATTTAGCTAATTCCACCTTGACCGCATGCTTTTTGTAGCCATGAATTCTGACCAGGTTTGACCACTCTTCTAGGCAGAATTCATAGAGTTCAGTAAAATTAACGGGTTCATTGTTGATTTATCTCTTCAGGAACCAGATTTGACGTGTTAGAACATCAATCACGTTAAGTTTCAACCGTCTAACGGTCGATTTGAGATGAAGAGGAAGAATTCAGAGGTAGCTTCATAGAAACAGCTTCACAGCATGAGGCTACCACCGCCATGCTTGACAGCTGGTACAATGTTCTTAGGTTTGAAAACTTCCCCTTGACTCGTTCAATATACTATGGAGAGGCAGATGAGTTTGTTTGGACCCTTCCAAAAGAAGTAAAATTGACGTCAGGAGCTAAAAAGCTTAATTTTTGTCTCAGAAGTTCCATAAACTTTTCCCATAAACTTGAGGGTTTGTGCTGTTTGACAATTTCCTGTCTGGCTTTTTGGGTTTTTAGGTTTTCTGCCATTATTGGAGCCTTTTCTAGGTCTTCTTCCATGGACCTCATTATGATTCAAAACCTTGGAGTTCAGCTTCAGTGGTTTTAAATGATTTCCTTCACTGGTTTTCTCTCATTCACACAATCCGTCTGATCATCCTGGGGCTGCATTTTCTCTTGCGTCCATATCTTGGGAGGTGGCATACAGTCCTGTGAACGTTGTAATTTTCAAACATCTTAGCAGCCGTGGTCAGAGGAACACGAAGCTGTTGCAGATGGTACTGTAGCCTCCATGTTTGCTTATTTTCAGTCTGACGCTTTAACAGAAACGTTTAATCAAAAGTAGAGCAGAAACGTTAATAAATTCTTGTTTTAGGTTGATGTTTTAAAACCTTAACCTCTTGCTTATCAGGCTTCATTGTTGTGCATGTGAACCATGGATACCTAGACACCAGACAGTCGTAAACATTCACTATCGCATCAGCCAGGCTATCATGGAAGTGTTTATCATCTGAGACATAACAAAAAAATCCCATCTACACTGAACGCACCCTTCAGGGTCCCTGCCTGTAAATGAGCCATCATCACCACAAACATCACAGGAACCAGACCTTTCGACGCTCCGCTCTTTGAGGAAAAACGCTCAACTTCATTTCACTGTAAGCATGCGCGCTGACAAACAACAGGATGTGTGTTTCACAAACATCGGGGTAAACAGAAGCTGTTTGTTTGGAGATACTCAAGGCTCCTTATCTGGGCTCCGTGAAGTTTGACGATCTGGTTGGAAACAGCTGTCTGCAAACGCAGCCACCCCCAACCAGCCCTCTGCCTTCTGCAGTGCCAACGCTCGTCAGTTTTGAAGGGCGTCTCGCCTGGTTGGGATCCTGTCAGTTACAGGCAGATCTTGAGGTGACGCCTCCTCAGCCCTCATTTCCTCCGCTCCGTCCTGCTTTCATCTCTCTGTCTCAGAGGCCTTGGAGACGTGACTTGGCCCATTTTAGAAAAATTCCTTCCTTCGCTGTTTTCAAAACCGTGCATTGTGCTTTGCTACAGGTGCTTAAAGATTTCCTCTCCTCCTTACGTTGTCTTGACTTGTTGTCTTTTCTCCTCGCCCACTGCCACCAAAGAGCTGCGTCCTCTTTCAATAAAATGTCACCACACAAGATGAACAGGGCTCAGGCCATATCAGGCTATCTGTCTATTGTTTTGAACACAGGCACCAAAGAAACTGTTCACTTCATGCAAAAAGTTGTGTAGCTTGTGTCAAGCCTCGTTATCTCTATTTTTATAAGTGCAAACCTTCATGTCCTCATAGAGCCGCCATTGTTCCGGTTTATTGTGGAAAGACTGTCCACAAACTATTTCTCTTTTAGCTTTTCCTGTTTGCGAACGCTATAAATAAAATTGCGTCCTGTACAAACCGATTTACTCTCCTGCACAGATAGAATCACTCTCCGACCTGAACCTTTTTATTCTGTTTTTCTACCTCAGATGTAATAATATCACTCTGCGGTTCCAATAAGAATTTTTAAGCTGTGGCAGCTGCTTGATTTCAGAGACAAGCTAACGCCATGTGAAGCGCCAAACTGTATGAGCTCACTGGTAATGTGTTGACATGCGAGGCTGTGCTGACAAAAGGCTTCACGGTCCTTTACTCTGAAATCCTGCCACGCTCCGTTAGTCTGAGCTACTTAGAAAAAGACGTGCACATGGAGGAGGAATCTTACTGAAGACAACTGAAAGCAGGTATGTGTCCACGTGTGGGACAGACAACACATAAGTGTCTCAAACTCAATCAGTTTTAAGGATAATGAACTGACTTCTGGTGTGGTAGTAGCCGAAAGTATTTCACAATATACTACACAATGCTTGACTTTGGCTCTAACAGTCGAGTCTGTCTGTTGGCAACGCAACGCGTGAAATGTTGGCTTGGTTTTAATGAAACTCTCAGAAAACAATCAAAGATGTCCGTCTCTAACTTTTTTTTGGTGTTAAGATCTTGCAATCTTCAAAGAAAAATAAATAAGGTATTAAAAAAAAAAAAGTTAAAGTAAAATGATATCCGTCTCTAACTGATTGCATGTTGGGGTTCACCCAATCCAAGATGGCTGCCATGTCAGAGGAGTTTACAGATATGAGCTAAAGCTCGATGTGGTGGTAGCTGGGAGTCATCTTCAACACAATGAGCACCAACCAGGGGCGATTCTAGAATCTGCCCTTTAGGGGGGCTTAGCCCCAAGCGTTGACATTGGCTCTTGGCTTCAACAACAGTGGCCACTGGCGACTGGTGAGAGGTCTAGTTGTCCTCCCCCACAAATTTTTAAATAATGTAGATGCCAACGGGTTTTTAAACATTACGTTTACCTACATAAGTAAACTCTTGATTCAACAAATATTTAGAGAGCTTGGCACAACAAGAAGTAGCACTAAGCTAGCGGGGCGCAATAGATGTGCACTAGCTAAGATGCTACAGACGTAGCGCACCACTTTACATTAGACAACCTAATAAACACTTTGTACAAAATCAGTTTAGTTTAAAAAGACTAAACTTATGCAACCAGAAGTTACAACATATATCTACATTTAAAACACATAAAACACATCACAACTTTAAACACTGACCTTTACTTTAATCATAAGCGTACAACGTAATTATGACAGAAAATGGAGGATTTACCTGCAGTTACCTTCATACAGATGAACACGTGTACTTCCTGTTTATCATTGTTGTATTCAGCTGCTCATGAGGTCGGCCGCAGGGATTTATCATCTCGTACATTTTTCCAGACTCAGTTTATGTTTTGGAAATTGAATAAACTGCATTCCCCCCTCTAAACTTTCAGAGTAACACTGTCTGAATTACATGTTTTCTGACAAGGTCTAACCATTTTTTCAGATGATTTTTCATGTAATCTCTCCGACCGCCAAGTGTTCCTAATGCAAAAACCCAGACAATGTTGTCTGGGGAAAAAGGGGGTGGAGCTCCTGCAGTAAGGGGCGTTTACCTTCAGGACAAATTGCAATCACTGATTGGTCAGTTGCTGCCTTGGATTGATTGGCAGGCGGTGTTCTTGTGCAAAAAGTATAAAAATCGAACTGGCCTGTTTAATAGTGTCATCATTTATTCCATTTTTATTTCAAATGTATTCAATATTTTAGTGAATCTAAGATTTGAAAATTGAGTTTCCTGACAAAATCCTAGTGCTGGTTTCTTTATTTTTTCAGGGGTGTTGGTGGGGCTTGAGCACCCCATTCTGAGGCTAAAATCACCACTGACACCAACACACAAAATCTTCCATTGAATGAGACTAATTATGATCTGTTTGACCAAACTGGCCTCTCCATTCACGAGAAGATTTTAGGACTCTGGCATGAAAAGTGGGCGGCGATGTGAAAACCTTCGAGGATTGTTAGGATTTTATTTCAAATTTGTTTTACCTGTGCCTCCTTCTGGTGTTCGTAGTTTCAGTTTGGAAAAACTTGATAAAATAACTTTTTTTTTAACATTACTGATCATGCAAAGACTCTTGTTTAATGTTCAGCTGGGACATAAGGACAGTTTAGAGGCTGGGAGAGTTTATTGTCCCACTTTGAGTTGTGTGTTCTCAGGAAAACTGACCCAGAACAAACAATACTTAAAAATAAATGTTCCTAGTAGATCATGCATGGAACCAGCCTTTTAACCCATGAGAACTCACCTTTTTGAAATAGGTTTCCCTAAAACATAATAAAATTTAAATGTATTTTGCATGAAACAAAATACAAATGAAATAAATTATTGTTTCAAATAAATAAATATTGATTATAAACTGAGACAGTTAAGTTTTCAAATGACATCTGACAAAACCAATCAGAAGGATTGTTCAATTAAGGCCTAAAGACGGAGTAAATAAAAACATATTCATGTTTACACCAAGAGATTTCTAAAACAGGTCTCTCTTGAAAAGGAGTCCTCATGACTCAGTGAAACTACCTGTATGAATAAAGTTACAAATTTAATAATAATAATAATAATTTAAAAAACTTAAAGAATTATATGAATTTGTTAGGCTGGGTTACTAATAAGTTAACACAATTCTAGATTTAAAAAAAAAGAAAAGAAGACTAATCAATATTACCTAAAACTTATCTCAGACTCTGTGAACGTATGTTACTTTGTCAAATAACATTTCTTTCGCTCACCCAGCTGGGTGAAATTCCAAACATGTTTTCAAAAAGTTTGTTCATTTGTCACGACAGATCCAGGACATGACACATGAAAGCTTTCTAACTTCCAGACGTGCACGATGTTGACTCGTTCAGTTGTCCTGCAACTGCCGTAAAATAGTTACCAAGCATAGGTCAGTTGCTTATAGTCACTTAGTCCGGTTGGAAAGAAAAATAACTATAACGTTGCTGCACATCAGATCAGGTATCCAAATGTATAGGCTTTGCATTTTCTTCAAAAAGGTTTTATTAAATCTGCAACAAAATTATTAAAAGCCAAGAAGAAAAACAATCATGTGAAAGGTTGTTGCTTAAAAACAAAGAAAAAACAAACAAAACACAGACAATCAGGTGCTTGGTTCAAACTCACTGAAAGCAAACATAGGCTGATTTCTATCTATCTATCTATCTATCTATCTATCTATCTATCTATCTATCT